AAAAAAAAAAAAAAAAAAAAAAAAAGGAAAAACGTAAAAAGAATTAAAAAACAAAAATCCAGAGAAAAAACAAGTTCTGTAGAATTGCAATACAAAAGACTTTTGGCTGAGGTTCACATCAGAATTCCCCACGGAATCAAAGATATAAATAACTTTTTTTTAACCCCTTCAGCCCCTTAAAAAAAAAAAATTATACCCCCCTCCTCTTTACAGCCAACGCTTGAAAACAGAAAGGAGCCCGGATTTGGGCTCCTCTGGCCATGCTCATAAAACCTACAACTGACCCAAAAAAAAAACCAAAAAAAAAAAGGGCTGCTTTCTGCCTGCACGAGGTGTCCCATGCAGGTGCCCCCCAGGCGACTTGCCCCGGTTGCACGGCCGGGCGAGCCAAGTAGCCTAGGTATTTTTAGAATTTTTATTATTTTATTGTATTCTAGCAGATGATGTGATGACAAGCATATGGAAGTACATTGTCCCCCCTTTGATGAACCGAATTTTTACGTTGCATAGAGTACACGTACGGGGGCTTTCCATACTAAACGTACAGGTAATTTCTGTACGGGATCTGTACGGGCACCTGTACGGGAACCTGTACGTTTTGTACGCCCCCGTACGAAAAAACAAAAAAAAAAAAAAAAAAAAAAAGAATGGTCATCCATAAAAAATCCAAAAAAAACATATGTGATGCAACAACACAAAACAAGCAACATTTGGCTGAGCATGATCTTCAGATTCTTACTAGAATTTGATTAAAAAAAAAAAAAACAGTACCGATTTAAAAAAAAAAAAAAAAAAAAAAAAAAAAAAACCTCGTACGGGGCCCCTAGCGTACGAGTAGCGTATGAGTACAAGAGTACGAATCCATACTCCTACGAGGGTGCGTACAAGTGGCAACGCATCTGGAAAACAACATCAGCATGGCAGCAACTGAACGTGTGATCTGCATCGAGTTCTACTGGCCAAGCAACAGCATACTCACTCGACGGACCACCTTCCTTTTTTTAAGCCATTCCTTTTCATTTAATTTTTCGACCTTTCTGTCATGCAAGGAGAGTTGAGCAGAAGGCTGGGATCCACTAGGAAGAAGTCGGGAGGCCGGGAATCCACACCCATAACCCTTAGCGTCCCATGCTGAGTAGTTGCATATATATGAGGAAAAATCAAGAGAAAATATTATACACCTGTCCTCCGATGAGGAGATGAGAGACAGCTCCTTAAAAAAAAAAAAAAAAAAAAAGGTTGTCCGACCGATTCCCATGGAAAGATGCAGAGAGACCCAAACATGGATGACAATGCCACTCACCAGGCCCTCCACATGCTCCGCAATTACGACCTGCAAAAATTCCAGGTTCAACAGACATGGGATTATCAAGCAACCAAAATTTACAAGTTAGAACAAACCACCCGACTTTGGTGAAAACAGTGGTGTTATGTACTCAGCAACGGCCGCCCATATACTCAGCAACAGCCGCCCATACACTCTGAACGTACAACCTGCAAACAACGGTACAACCCCTGTTTTCACCAAACAGTGGTTTTTCTTTTTCCCAATAAACAACAGGGCCAAACATGCATGCAATTATAGAGGGGAAGGGGATCAGGGGATGCTGGACTCAGTTTCCAGCCAGCTGAGGACGTCGACTCATGATACGCTGAGCTCAGGGGTTGCTCCTTCCATAGAGGAAGCAGTCAATGCCCTGCTCTTTCCATAGAGGAAGCAGTCAATGCCCTGCTCTTTCCATAGAGGAAGCAGTCAATGCCCCAGTGGCACCGGTTCCTTCGGCCATAACAGAAGGAAGGAAGCATTTGGGGGGCACGTCATGCATGCTCTGATTTGAGAATAGATGGTGACAACAGGCAGGAACAATAATAGTAAGGTTTACAAATTGACTAAAACAATAATTGCTCTATTTGAAGCACTTAAAGGGACGCCGCTGGACCCCGTCTCCAGCTAGCCGAAGCTGGGTAGTAGCCGCGGTTCATTTCTGGGTAGAATTGTGAGGTCGCAGCCATCTTTTTTTTTTTTTTTTTTTTTTTTTTATAACGAAGACAACTTCTATTCACAAGCCCGGAAATGGGCCCGGCATCCCTCACATCCAGCAGGGGGCGGCGGAAGGTCCAGGCTCTCCGGCCAGGTCCGGCCAGGTCCGGCCTCCCACCGCCTAAAGTCACCCTTGTGACTTCGTATCAAAATAGAATAATTATCAGAGACAGATGGCCAGAGCATTTGAAGCACTAAGTTAACATTTCGGTGTCATTATGGATCTCTTGGGGGGGAAATTACAAAGACGTTACAACACCACGATTCCACGCCTTTCAATGCCTGAATGTTAATCAGTAGCAGCATCAACAGACGAAGCACACCGGTTCCAATTTGAACAGACATTTGCACAATGTGCGATGATAACCGACTGGTCTATCCTGGGTAATGGCAGAGAACTGGGGGGCGCTAAAAAGTGGGGACTCAAGGAGGGAAAAAAAAAGGTGACCTCCAAGAACCCAAACAACCCCACCCCAGTTTAGCATGCATTTTTATTCCCATGCACCTGTGAGACCGGATTCGACACCTTCCCACGTCAGGGATTCCTTAGCAATTGGCAAGAGCCGTGTAGTCCGAGAAGTTCGACGAAAACTGAAAGAAAATAGAAGCTAACCCCACAGCTCAGACCACATACAACATATAAAAAATGATATAAGATGTGAATGTTTCGGTTTCTTTCAAAAGAACGACAACTTCGACAATGGTCGAAGCCTAACATGGATAGCCTCCTTTAAGGTGGACAACCCATCAGAATATGAGACTAGGAGGAGGAGGAGGAGGAAACAGCAGAAACCTCAGCGTATGCACTCAATTGTCAAACAAAACAGTCAGCATAGGAAAAAGTGCAGAGGCAGCTGAGACTCTGAGAGGCTCACCGCAGCAATATCTTCCATGTCCTCCTCAGTGAGATCAGGTGAGACTTTCACAAGCACTGGTGGTGGCGTCTCTTCACCCCACTGCATATCGTTGCGTGCATCCAGAACCTGCAGCAAAACCACAAAGCATGGAAAGAGACGGGGGGCGGGGGCCCGGGGGGGGGGGGGGGGGGGGGGGGGGGGGGGGGGGGGGGGGGGGGGAGGGAGGGAGCGAGAAGGGCGCAGAGGAAGGGAAACTTCTTAGCATGCGTAAGTGACAGATTCCATGAAATTTTGTTTCCCATTGCAGTGTCAACGACCCGATTTCCCTTTTCTGTTGTTATATGATGCCGGTACACACTGCATTTTCTCCTAAAGTGCAGCGCCGTAAGTCAGGGGTTCAAGGCCCACTTAATGGAGCGATCTGCTCCAAGGGGGCAATGATTTGTACAGAGGGGATCATGCAACCAGGAAGGATGCTTCTGCACCAGAAGAAGCATTCTGCTTTTGTATCTTACATACGCACAACGGAAAATTTAGGTTGTGAACTTGTGATCGATCGTTGTCACAAGGGAGATCTGCCAGTGGTCTACCAGCTAAACCATTCACTGACATAAGCGGCATTCCTAATAGCCTCACCAGAAGAAGCAAGAGTGGCAGAAAATAGAAGCTTAGACCCTCTTCGTGCCAACCATACCATCACAGAAGCCGAAGTATGATCGTCCAGAGTGAAGACATCATGGAACAGGAGGAACACTGCAACGTTCTAGAAAGCATATACCATCCTAGACTTCACAAGCTGGTCAAGAAAAAACGATGAAAAAAAATCCACCCCGGCCAGAACAGAAACTAAATTAATAATATAAATAAAAGAAATAAATTCAAATAATCAAAGACGGGTGGAGCAAGCATGCAAGTTTGTCACCATATGAGCGGAACAGTGTACCTTGGGAAAGCATAATATCAGACCCAGATCCGCCAGAAGCTCTCACTGGCTGCTTCCCCCCCTACCGTCTTCACCCGAATATAATGTATGGTCATTATAGCTGCATTTGGCCCAATTTTCAGTCCAGATGCAGCGATAATGACCGGGCATTCTATTCAGGGGAAGAAGGTAGTCCTTTTAGTTAGCAGTGGCTGAACCAAAGGAGAAGGGAAGTGGCCAAGGCTAAACTTTATAGCTGGCTGGGATCCATCCACCGATCCATGATCCCCCTGTAGATCCTTGCCCCTTATGCATCTGTCTGTCCATCCATTCATCCATCTGTCCATCTATCCATCTCTTCCTTTGGCCATCCATGCATCCATCCATTCACGCATCTGTGACACATCCATTCACCCGCCCCTTGACCAACCCATCCACCCGCTCATCGCACCCCTCTTCTCACCCCCATCTTTCCATCCATCTATCCATCCAACCAACCATATCTCCAGTTATCCCTTTATGCATCTGTTCTTCCATCATTTTTCTTTGTACCGCATCTGCCCACCAACACATCCATTCGTCATTCCATACGCCTGTCCATCCTCTCCACTGTCCACATGCAGCCATTGAATGGCGGCCGTTGGTCTACGGTAATCCTATCCGCAGCCACCCACCCATCCAGTCATCCATGTGTCCATCTCTTTCCAGCCATCCCTCCATCCACCCTCCCATTCATCATCCATCTGCCACAAACGGGTTCTCTCCCCCTTATGCACCCATTATCTCCCTCTGCTCGACTCACCCACGCATTCCTCCCTCCCTCCCATCCATCCATCCATCCCTCTTTCTCCATCCCTCTGTCCCCGGACTCATTTTTGTTGCCAAACACCGAGCCTGCGTGGGGATCCCAACCAGACCTGACCAGGGACCGTTTTCAATTTGCATCCTGTCCACAGACTCCGCACCTGCACGGGTTTTCCCAACCTGGGTGGGGATCCCAACCAGACCTGACCAGGGCCTGTTTTCCAAGCCTGATGATGCAAGCTGGGTGGGGCCCACCAGTTACCAACCAGGAATTCTCTTGGTCACTGAGCTGGAGTGGTGGTTTAACATCTGACCCATGAACTGACTATCACATATATCCATTCAACTGCCCTATCCATTCTGTCCATCCCTACCATATCTCCATGCCATCCTCCTTCGCACCCATCATTCCCATCACTTCTTCGCTCGCTCCCTCCCTCACATATCTCCATCCATACCTGGCCCATTCCTCCTGTGGTCCGTCCATTCGTCATTGTCATTCTTTCCCTCTCTCTCTCCCTCCCTCCCTCCCTCCCTCCCTCCCATCCGTCCACCCCTACCACCCATTCATATCTGCCTTCCACTTGACGGTCCATCCTATCCATTCTATTCACCTCTACCTGAGTCGACAATCCATACATGCAATCCTCGCTCCCACCTCCCGTACTCCCTGTCTCCCTCTCTCCCTTACTCCCCGTCTCCTTCTCTCCCACCCTCCCTCTCAACCTCCATCCATACCTCCCTCCATCCCTCCCTCGCTCTCTCTCTCCCTGCATGCATCCATTTCAGCCACACCGATGGCTTATATTCTGTGCATCTGCCCCATCCATCCCATCCATCTTGCCTTCCCATTGCCCATCCATTTGAGGGAGGCAATGAGGATGGGTGTTCTTTCATGTGTGTGACTCCTGCCTGTGCAGCAGTATGTTTGTGCAGATTGACAGGGCAGCCATGGCCGGGGCTACTCGCGACAATGCCGGACTACGTGGTCAGGCAAAAACAAGTGTTGGGCTGTAGAAGGCATCCATTCAAAGCCACCTGAGCATCCCCTAAGCTACGAAGATACAGATACACCCAGTTTCAATGATACCCACTTTCAATGATGTCCAATGCCCCATACGTGGTTAACAGGGGCCTCCCCTTTTCAGTCCATAGGCTAACAACTTTACAACCCAAGCACCGGAAATTATGTGAAATAGGCATTCAAAGATCCTGAACGACAACTAAAGGAATGGCCCCACTTTCCCTGCTAAGCCCCATTTCGATGCCATGGAATTGTTAGGAACCTGACCATTTTTAGGGCTAGGTTCGTGCTAGGAATAGTACCAGTGATCTTTCTTGAATCTTGACTCAATGTGGTCATATTTGCTGCGATGCACCCAGCAACTTTGTCCGATTTCTACAACGGGCCAGGCAACTTGGACCCCCATAGGCACATCAGCATGAGCAACTCGGATCTCATGCAAAAACTACTTGGATCCCCATAGACATCCGCATGACCGACTCGGATTGCATGCAAAAACTACTTGGATCCCCATCATTGACACATCAGAATGACCGACTCAGATCGCATCCAAAAACTATGAAACATGTGCATGGGAGGCGTTCCATGCTTCCTCTCTTTTCCAGAGTTGAAGGACCCTATCCAGTGCCTATGGAATCCTTGGCCCCAACCCTCTCTTTGTACCACCATTCTGCCTCTGAGCTTCCTGACCCCTTTCTCCTACACTGAAATCCAAACCTCGTCCTCACACCAAAATGGCCTAACTGGGCAACTCAGTTAAGAGCATAGGGGCAGGCCCACTAGTATTAGGTTTATGCTAAGAAAACAAGAACCTGGTCATACCGTAGGACTAAGCTCATTCACACTTGATAGAATACCAATAATGGGCCCTGGCCCATGCTTGCACGAGGGCTTTCTTGACCGACCGAGGTCACACTTGCTGTATGATGGACCCAAGAAAGTCCCAATGTCAATATGCCCGCGAACGTCGTCATAGCGACCGCTTAACATTGCACAAATGTCTGTCCCCTCTTTGCAACTCCTTCGCCTGGGAAGGCAACTCGCTACGCCAAACATCAGGCCGTAGAGCATCAATACGCACTTGTCCAGGTGATCGCTATTTTTTTTCTGGAGCCTATCCATCCACGACGTCGGCATGTTGATGCACAAGGATGAGTCTAAAATAGCCATTTACAGTTCCATTCTGAATGTAAGCCCTGATTCTTACACGATATAACACGAGTATAAAAACAACCATTTACAATGATCGACTAGTAGTACTAACAGCCAGCTTAAAAGAGCCTTAAAAGGAATTATGAAGCAGGATCATGCCAGGATGAGGAAGGGAAAAGGGGGATGGGAACATCTCCAAAAGAGGGGTGAAAACAAACAGCACAATTTACCTTCTCCCATGGTTGAACGACACACAGATGCAACTGCTGATAAACAGATGACGAGTTCAAGTCCATCTGCAATCTGGATTCAACAACGTTACGGCAAACATGTGAACTTTGTTGAAGGTTGTCTGACTGCTGATATGCATACCCTTTTGATAAGAGCCTGAAGCTGCTCTCTCCCCTGAAGATTCCTGAGCCCGGGAGTGTTTGGCGACGAGACATTGATGACCTGATTTGACAAAGACATAAAATTTCAAACCAGATAGAAACCACAGAGTTCCACAACATAAAATTTCAAACCAGATAGAAACCACAGAGTTCCACAACATTGTGTCAAAATGATAAAGGAAGAGAGCAGGAATAGGAGGGTGAGGATGAGGAGGAGGAGGAGGAGAAGAAGAAGGTGTAGAGGAAGAAGAAGAAGGTGTAGAGGTAGAGGAAGAGGAGGAGGAAGAGGAAGAGGAGGAGGAGAAGAAGAAGGAAGAAAGTGTAGAGGAGGCGGCAGAGAATGAAGAAGAAGAAGGACGTGTAGCAACGTTCTGTAGGCATGTGAATGTGACTTTTCTCAAAATTTCTGTAGTCTTTTGCTATTGCAAACAAACACTTGAAGATACAAATCCACTCCTCCGTGTGCAGGTTATCAATACTTGGGTGAAGTCAGGAGTCTTCAACAACAACCCGGAAGATCAAACCTAGTTCTCGCGGCAGCAGGACTTGAACCCCCAACCTGCCTCAAGTGGTTGCAGTATTTCATGTCATTTTCTGTTTCACTTGTGCACGGTTCTGAACCTGGGACCTGGATGTAGAGTCTCCGTTAGCTCGCCATTTTAGGCCTTTCCTGACAAGCAGGATCTCAGTTTTTCGTTAGTCGACCCGGTAGGCCTAGGGCAAGTGGCAGCTTGTCAAATGCAACAAAAAGGAAAGAAGTTTCATACCGTCTTCATTCCTCAAGTTTGGCTGTTTGGAAGATCCGAGGTGTGCTAAATTTGGCACTAAAGATAGGAGACAGGCTGCAGCTATAACTGGCGGTTCTCGCATTATAGTGCATCTTTTCCAGATCTGTTTGGTGCATGGCGTTGAGGGCAGCAGCTAGGCGGCCCAGGTGGATCATGTCAAATTTCCGCAATTTCGTCAACCATTCCCATGGGTAATTACTCTACTTTCCACTTGAACACACTTTTCCAATCGAGTTTGATTTCACACCATCAACAATCGATAAGTGATGATGTTTGTAGTCGAGTGAAATTTGTCAAAATGTGTTCCACCAGTGCTCCTCAAGGCAAAAGCACTGTCTTCACCCAGATAGAACACATGATCATTATGGCAGCACATACGGTTGTATCAAGACTGAAAGTTGCCGCAAATACAGATATAATATCAAGACTGAAAGTTACCCCAAATACAGATATAATTTCAAGACTGAAAGTTGCCCCAAATACAGATATGAGGACCCCAGGTTCTGTTGGGGGAGGACAGTAATCTATTAAGCCGTTAGGACAAATCTATGTGGTAGGATTTCAGATAATCCTGAGCGAACCTTTCATCCCCACTCTTCCAGCCTTTGCCAAATCTTTTTTTCCGCCAAATCTTTTCCGGTGAAAAGAACTGTGGTTCTAACTGACCTCAAGAGGGAAGCCCCTTTCCATTGCTCAGCAATCTCTAGGCTTGTGGCTAAAAGCTGCCTCTTTTCCTTCTGGTGCTTCCACCCACCAGAACCCGAAAGCACATGGGATGTCACCTGCAAACCATAACCCTAAACCCTAAACCATGATCCCTAAACCTAAACCATAAGCCCTAAATCTAAACCCGAACCCTAAACCTTAAACCCTAAGCCAAAAGCAGCACAAGACTGTCAGGATTGCATAAATGATTTTCCAGTCCTTTTTTTTTTCCCCTCTCTGATTCTATCTGCAAATCTACAATCAATCAGCAAGGTGCACCCACTTTTTTCTTTCTTTTCTTTTTGGCGGGTGGGGGGAGGGGGCAGCAGGACCTTTTCACTGTCGGATAAAAAATCTGACAGACCCTTTCGTTTCAGGTTCTCAGCAGCTTGGAGGCAGAGAGACTTCATAGCAAGACATGCTGCTCTACGGCACTGCTGCTTTAAACCACTAGTACCTTTGCTGCATGGGAAAATAGCGGGCCTCGGGTGGGCCTCCGACCTTTCGGAGGCCGAAACGAAACGACGGCCGCAGTTCAGATTTATCAATGGCAGCCGTCGTCGGGCCCGGCCTCCAAATTTTTAGGAGTTTGGGAAAACAGCCACTTTTCCCTATTCGGCATAATATTTCAGGCTAGACAAATTCCCTTCCTTCCTCGCCCTCCCCCTACCCGCCCTACCTTTCCGCTTCTCAAACAAACAGGAAGTCCACGCAGACATACACCGATACCCAGTTCATTATGGACAAGGGCAGTCATCCTCTTTCTCCTACTCCTCCTTTTCCGCCTCCACACAATTGTGTGCAACGCTCATCCCTGCCAGTGCAATGTTGTGGCATACATGCATCAGAGATCATGCATTGTAAGTCGTAACACATGCAATGCCATACGCCATGCTCCCTCAATCCCAATTTGATCCACTCACCAAATAGTCCGCATATTGAGCCAATCCACGCACTCCTTTCTCAAAATCAGCTGCCGCATCTTCGGTCTTCTTGTTCTTGCCAAGGTTGACGCCAATGATCCCGGTCTCAAGACCATGCTTCTGAACAGATCCTCCACCCTGCCTGACACCATTTCTTTTTCCCACTCTCCTCCTCCTCTTGTGGCACTCTGCCAGTCTCTTTGACACAACTTCAATGCCTTCATTGTTGAATCCATATCTGTTTATCACTGCCCTGCGCACAAATGAAGAAACACACACACAAAAAAAAGAAAACAGAGCATAACTCAGAAGCAAGCAATGCCATCTCATCAATGATGACCGTGACTGTGAGACAAAACTTACCAAACATCTCCTCAAGGTCGAATGAGACACAACTAACTTACTAAGAACTATGTAGGACGTGGTCCTCCTGGCAGACTGAGTGCAGTTTCCCACATGTGATGTACGTGGTACCACTCACTGCCCCTCAGGAGCCCTTCTACCAACGGGCCTAGCTCAGTTGGTACAACCAATGACCTGTTTTTTTTTTTTTTTTTTCCGAAATAGCATGCTTTATTATATATGGAGCAAAAGGAGGCCGGGAAACCCTCCACATCTCAACCCGGAAGACTGGGGCCATTACCCAGATTTGGCTCTTACTTGAAACAGGGTCCAGTGTCCCTTTCTCCTAAGAAGCTTCATGCTATTCCCAAAACAAAGACTAAACTGGAATAACAAAATGACAAAATAACAAAAACAAGGGAACCTTCCTTCTATCTTTCCACCCATCCTCACCTTAAGCTCTGGAACAGACCGCTGTTGCTCGTCTTTCCCATTACCTCCGACACCTCCTCCTCTCTGTCCGCTTTCCTTAAACCCTAAACCCTACTGTCCTTAGTGACGTGAAAACCCAGTCCCTATTTCCTAAGCCAACTTCCCCTTTTTTTTTTTTTTTTTTTTTTTTTTTAACTTACTTTTAGCCCTACCCTCTACAGACCTGCGTTCGAATCCAGACGCAACCAAAATGACTATTTGGTAGGATAAAATCATTCTGAATTGCCTGGGGGCCGGTCAGTTCAATGATGATTTCCAAACACCGTCACCCTTTTCTAAAAAAGGAAAAAGGGTGCGGGGGGGGGAGCCCTTCTGTCCCCCAGGAGCTGTCCTGATGGAGCTGTCGCGCAGACGCTATGCTAGGAAGACCGCCCATGGTTTCTCCTCAACTGTTGCCATGCCCATGCCTGGCACTGCGATGCCTTGCTGGGCCTCCCTCCCTCGTCAGAGTATTTCTGGTTTCGTTCACAGACTTGTCAGCCAATGTCTTGCCGTGCTACTGAAGTTTCCCCTCTTACTTTGGTACTCGTTAAAATCGGTCATCATACTCGTCACACTTCACTGACTTCAGTTGGTGAGTTGAAACGACGTGGGTTAGCAGTAGCACAAAGTGAGTTGCACACTCCAACAATTTTCCGCATATTTTTCTACCCGTGAGTTGCACACTCCAACAATTTTCCGCATATTCTTCTACCCAGCCAGACTGAAGATGCGTCCTCCGTATCGAGTTTGGCTGGCTTGAAGAATATGTGGAAAAAATGCGGAGAACACCTTCTTCGTAAGTAATGCCTTCTCCATCTGTCCTGTCCTTTGGTTGTCGAGAGAAATTCAATGCTTTCTCGACAACCAAATCAGATTCTCTCGAAAACTAAAAGAGTAAATCAAGTTTCCAGCATCAGACAATACAATCGATTATCTACCCAAAATGAAATAAAGGCACTCAAGATTTTTTTATCCTAGTCTGCCTCAGACTGCCTGGCTTGAAGAATATACCGAATGCTTCCCGCGACCCAGAATACACCGAATGCTTCCCCCGACCCCTTGTGTTTGGGTGTGAATGGGTTGGAGGCAGGAAGGTTGTCACAGTGGTGTTGTTCAAGCACATGGCTTCCGCTCTGCATGCCACTGTGGCTGTCTATACCGATATCTATACCTACTCCAGTACAGAGATTTTAAGATTTATGCATACGAATATAGATGCAGATATAGTACTCTATGACTGTTCTTCGAGACAATGTTATCCCTTAAAATTGGAACGATACAGAGAAGATTTGCATGGGCCCTGCGAAAGGATGACAGACAGAAATAGAGAAATGGTCCAAATGTTTCTGAAAAAAAGGAAAAAAGAAAAGAGAAAAGGTAATATACTCTATGACCTGAAATGTAGATATGCTCAACAATCCTCATCAATGACTTTTCAAAAAAGTCGTCTGCTTCTCGCTTGAGGTTGCATACTCTATCACTGTGCCTTTGAACCATCAAATGGCATCCATTTCTCGATCTTCCTCCTTCCACAAGTGGTTAACGGGGATCCCCACTTTCAGGCCCTGGGTAACGGGTCCAAAACTGAAATTAGGGTTCTTTTTTTCTTTTTTTAACAACGAGGGTCAAAATTTATTATTTTATGTTATTAATACTTATTATTTATTTTATTTTTTTTGCCTGTTCTTGTTTTGGTTCAAGGCTGCTGTGTCCTCGGCCCTTCCCCTCTTCTCCGACCCTCGGCCTGTCCCATCCTCAACAGCCAAAAAAACTTTCATATTTCTGCTTTTTTTTAGCTTCAATTAACATATAACAACAGCAAATGACTGGTGATGAATACAAAGTTAAAAACGTTTTCTCTCTTCAATTTTCTTGACTTACTGTTGCTCCGGTAGTCGGAAAAGCCTCAGTTAAAAACGTTTTCTCTTCAAGCCTCAGTTAAAAACGTTTTCTCTTCAATTTTCTGCACTTACTGTTGCTCTGGTAGTCGGAAAAGCCTCGATCCAGGATTGCCTGCTTGCGGGACGGGCGTGACAGAGCCAATCTCTACCGCTCCAAACCCCATCCCAAGCAGTCCATCCACTCCCTCTGCACTTTTGTCAAACCCCGCCGCCAAGCCAATAGGATTATTGAAATGCCTTCCCCATAGATCGACGTGCAGACATGATGGATCCATCCGGTACTCCCTCGGGACAAGATTGTACTTGGCCGCTAAGACTGTGAACCTGTGGGCTCTTTCTGGAGGAAGAAATCTCCACAGTGGATTGATCGCGCGTGAAACCTTGAAGTACAAGTCGCTGCAGAAAGCGGAGGACAACCACTTCAGCAATGAGGGCCTAGTAGGCTAGTAGTTGCATCACTCACCATCCGCCAAGATAATTGTGATTCTTTGTGAATGCATCTTCTCAGATCTTCAACTTATATTTTGTCTGTTCTCTTAATGATGCTCATGCGTATGTATTACTAGAAACTTAGTGAGTAGTCGTAACACACAAGAGGCGGCGAGAAGGAAACCACTCTAGAATGGCACATGAGGGGATGATGAGGCCAACCAGTGTGTGGGTTTGGTGCAGCTACTACATAGGGCCCGAGTACGAGGCTCTTGATATTCTGCATGATGCATGGTGTGCATGCTGCAATATCATTATAAATTTATTACCATAATAATCAACATCGGGAAAGGAAGAAAAGAAAAAAAAAGTGTCTCTAAAATGAATCACTGCATGCGTAGAATCATAAACTCAACCCAAACTCGGTCTAAGGACTGTTTAAGATTCTTTTAAGACTTTGCACTGTTTGCAGTGTTGCACAGAATCATAACATAAATAAATGCAGTCAAGCTGTCTAAGACTTTCAAAAACTGTCAAAAAGGAATCACTGCATGCACAGAATCATACAACTTCAATGCATAACCTCAGAGGCTCGGTCTAAGAATAGAAAAAAAAAAAAAAAAAAAAAAAAAAAAACCGTCAATTTGTCTCAAGAAGCAATCACTGCATCCACAGACTCTGAGTCACATAAACTCAATACCTAACCTCAGTCTAAGACTTTCAAAAAACTGACACAAAGAAATCACTTTGTGAAGTTTGTGCACAGAATCATAAACTCAAAAGATAATGATCTCAGTCTAAGACTTTTAAAAACTGTCATAAAGCAATCACTGCATGCACAGAGTCGCACAAACTCGATAGTACGTAAACTCGACCTTCACGAGTGTCCCATTGTTCTCAAAAATAGCCTGTCACTGCACACCCAGAATCACGTTCGCATATTAGCATGAAATTGATCAATGACATGCTCTCCTCTTTCGACTCAGTCATTACAGGGTCTGATCAGTGATCTGTCATCATGATGCCAGACATCGCAGGTTTAAAATTTAATCCCATTTTTTCCCTGGGAATGCATAAAGTCGATACATGATAGATATTAAACTCCATACATGAAAACTCGATATACATGAAACTCGATAACACACGAATGTCCGAAGTTAAGGCGGCGGAAAGCAAACGACGAAGAATTGTCAGAGTCACACACAAGATAGCTATGTATCATGCAGGCCTGAGTTCCCAATGCATCTCCCTACCTCAGCGTGCCTCGATCCCTGGCCGTGAAATAGGCACCACCTGCAACGATGGACCCAAGGAATGACCCTCCCAGAATCTGCCTCTGTTGTTAAAAGAGACAAAAGCCACAAATCAGCAGCCGTTAACATCATATCAGCAACTGAGAAATGGAGTTCAATAGACCCATGAGCAGACTTGACTTACAAAAAAAAAAAAACCAGGATAAAAAAAAGAAGGCAGTGGCCTGGTACGGCATAATATTAGTAGTTATCAGATATTTAAATCATTTCGTCATAGAATGGGACAATTTTCTAGGCTACCAGAGTGGCCCGGGACCACTTGCCCGGCCGGGCCAAAAAAAAAAGGGATAATTTGCAAAATATCCTCATAAGTTGAGAATCTTGAGATATATGCCAAAATGCTCCTGAAAGATGTGGGTAGAGCGGAATGCTCTTTTGTGCCGAAATTTTTGTGTTGTGCCCCTGTCAGGCGGGTGTGCAACTTTTGCAATCTGGACCTCCTCATTTGGGCCTTGGCCTTTTGCAATAGTGCCCCTAGGAGGCTAGGAGAAGTTTGCAAGTACTGGGTCATTTTGAAAAGTTGGACGCTACCCGGGAGGGATATATTGCAAAGATGGGGTTCCAACCGATGCCAGGGGTATTTCACGAAACATTTTTTTTGTCAGAGGGGCATTCCGCTCTACCGACATCTTTTAGGGGCATTTTGGCATTTATCTCAACTTACGCGGGCATTTTTTTGCAAATTGTCCTTAAAAAAGATTCTTTTATTTTTAATTATTTTTGTTTAAAGTTGGTAAAAAAATGGATGTGACCCTGAAGCAAAAGTTGTTGTTCAGTTTAGCTTTCTGCATAACATAGTTTTCTTCGTTTTTTAGTTTTTTTCGTTTTTTTAACTTTTTTCCCCCAGCTGGTAGCCTTGAACAGGTTTCCACCCAGTTGAATTTCGTGCAACAACTGCAGACACCGAGGCTTGATCCCCAGACTTTCCCCAACCCCGTGTACACTGTAAAGTACCTTTTTGTTGTTCGACGTTGGTTGACCCCGTGTGCCTTGAACCCACGACCTGTACCCAAACCCGTGAATAAATGCCTTGCGTGTGAAGCCGAGTCCTGTGGACTTGATCCATAGGTCTGTTATTTTATTTAGAAGTCTTCGGGTCGTCTGTAGGTGTCCCAAAAAGGCAAGTTCACAGTTGACCTTTGACCTTTTGAAAAAGGTCAACTGGCCATACGTCCTCTGAAAGGTCAGTAGGTCGTGGCTACCTTCTTCCCCCAAATACAACGTACGGTCATTATAGCTGTATCTGGACTGAAAGATGCCTCAAATACAGCTATAATTACCGTACGTTGTATTCGGGGGAAGAAGGTAGGTTAGGTCTCGAAGAGTCAACTTCAGCAGAGGCAACCCGTCGAATCAAGTACCAAGGTGGGACTCCACATCTTGAGGGCCTGGCCCCTGGGANCAAGTACCAAGGTGGGACTCCACATCTTGAGGGCCTGGCCCCTGGGAAATCGGGCAGGCCCAGACCACCAAACGAAACAGTATAAATAAAGACTGTTAAAGAGGCAGCGAACAGTCCTGGGCCATTCTGAGAAAACTATGCGGAAGCGCTGCAGACACTGCTTGAGTGACTTGTGCGTTGAGTCACACGTGGTCAACAGGAGAGCCCAGGTTGAAGAGGGTGAGCGCCCATAGCCGCTAGGAGGAGGAAGACAACGTCGGTGTGTGGAAGTGCAGACATTCAGGGTAAATCCAAGTGTTGAGTTGAGTTCCAGGCTGGCCGAAGGCCATATCTCCCAGTTTTTCTGTGTTTGCCTGTTAGGCGCACTGTGCCACGTCAAGCTTGTTGCTAATTCTGCTTCGAGGAACTTCAACTTGAAGTTGTTTTGCCAACGGCAACGGCATCTGCATGTATGCATGTTGGACGTGAAATCCAGACAAGTTTAATGCAGCCTAGTAGACATTTTTATTATTATTAATTTATTATATTACATCCTTCGGGACATCCATTAAAATTGGGACGATACAGGGACGATTAGCATGGCCCCTGCACAAACGTAACATGTATAAATCGAGAAATCCACCTTTTTTTTCTTTTTTTAATGGTCCGCAACGACTCCACATTTGAAAATCACATGACTAAATAATTAAATTCACAACACTGTCTCCCGTGATACCACCTGCATCACCTCTTGAATATGGATTACTGCTGTGCTTCTGCTTAATGGCGGGGGCCCGGCATCATGGAGGTCAACAAATCTGGATTAAATTTGCATTTTGCGATTTTGTGGACAACGATATACATTTGTAGTTAAAAAAAAAAAAAAAAAAAGGTATAGATTTGAAGTAAGACTTTGTTCGTACCAGATCAGATGCGGGTAAGTTCCGGGGCCAAGTCCCACTAGCAGCGATGAGCTACCTCAACGCCTGAATCTGGACGCTTTTGCGGAGATGTGCAGAAACGGTGTTGAGTTTCTTGAACTGCACGTCTCCACAAACACGTCCAGATTCAGGCGTTGAGGTAGCTCAACGCGGCTAGTGGGACTTGTCCCCCGGTAGAATTGTGAAGTCCCCGGCCTACGGCTTCATAGACTCCAACTCGAGTCTTAAAAAAAAAAAAAAAAAAAAAAAAAAAAAAAAAAGGGATAAGAATATGGATATATGGATATAAATCATGATCATGGCAATGATTGAGCAGAAATCCTGATCATCGTCCATTGAGAAGCAAGCAAGCAGAATGTTTTGAAATAAATTCGACGTGATACACTAACGGTTGGCATTTAAGCCCATCATCATCATCAGCAGCAGCAGCATTGCAACAAGCTACCGTCTTCCCCCAAACACAACACCCGCTGATTGTGAATGCATACAAGCTATCCCTTTCGGGGTCCATACATCGGTCATTTTCCCTGCATTTGGACTGAAATGTGAGCCAAATACGGGCATAACGACCGGCGTACGTTCTCTTCGGGGGAAACACGCACGTTAGCGGCTCTAGCGAGGAGTGCCCAGCAGAAAAGGTAGATGTAGCCTCATGTAGGTACTAGATGTACCAACACCTGGCAACAAGCCTACCTTCTTCCCCCGAATACAACGTACGGTCATTACAGCTGTATTTGAGGCATCTTTCAGTCTAGATACAGCTATAATGACCGTACGTTGTATTCGGGGGAAGAAGGTAGATCAGCTGCTAAACCCATGGAGTCATGGACTGTTCAAATATACAGACTTGAGTTCGAATCCAGATGGAACTCGAGTTACTCGACGATCGACGAATGATATAATGAATGACATCAACTAATTTTGAAAACTGATTGGGGAATTTGGGGCCGGTCAGTTTCACGTTGACATCGCAAGGCCGTCGTCGTGCATCGAAGAGTCGAAGACTGCTGGTTGAGGGCCTCACCGCGCCAACTGCAAATGCCAACACTTCGACTGTATCTGCACTCGAAATTGGTCCCTATACATTCAAAATGTAGGGGCCGTTCGGCGCTCTTCCTACTTGCAAGGGCAATCAATCCCTCCAGATTATTTTGAGGCAAGTTGCTACCCATGTACTTTGTGGGACGCTACCCTTTTTACCCGAATTACAACGTGCCGTCTTTCTGCCTGTATTTGCACCAACATGCAGTCTAGATACACCGTTATTGACCAGGCGTTCTGTTCCGGAGAAGGAAGATGGTAGATCAGTTTTCCAGCTACCCGATAGTGCTGCTGACCACCAATAGAAAGTAGTCACAAAGCTTAACCTCGATCTGAGGGATGCTCCTATCATCCCAGGGATAGAGAAGAAGAAAGGGAATCCCAGGGATAGAGAAGAAGAAAGGGAACGCAACAAGGAACTGCGACATCAGTAAAGAAACAGAGAGATACCAACCATCCGCAAAGAGCATGAGAAGAAAAAGAAGGAAACAGAAAAGAGCATGAGAAGAAAGAGCACGGACGCACGCGCGCGCGCACACACACACACACACACAAAAAAAAAAAAAAAAAAAAAAAAAAAAAAAAAAAAAAAAAAAAACCACATACACAGAACATTGTGTCTCTGTGTGTGTGTGTGTGTCTATTTATGATTTATCTATGATCTATCTATCTGTGTGTACAAATGGTACACAACTATATCAGCTTCTTGCACTGCAGTCGCATCCTATGTATTGTTCCCTTTGCCAAATTGCCACCACACGATGCTCTCTATTGATTTGACTCACTGGCAGGCCCTGTGTTTTCCACCCATTTGACGTCATTTAAGAGCTTAGGGGACAACGCTTTGCTACTGCAGAATGGCTACCAGTATGTTCTATAACATGCCCCCACTCTGCTTTGTCCGCTAGAGACACCGCACACTTGTTAACGAACGCTCAACTCTCTCACCCTGCAATTGCAAATCCATCCCTTCTGTGTGCGTGCGTCCCAAATTCTTCATTCTCTAATATCGAAAGGACACAGTGACTGGTTGGAAACACGAGCCTCTAAGAAACGGAGAGAAGTCACTGTGAGAGAGTGTCGTCGAGAACCTTTTGTTCAGGGGGTCGGGGAGTGTAAGAAAAGGGGGGAGGGGGGAAGGGGGGGGAGGGAGTAGGGGGCAACATTGAAGACAAATGGAATTTAATGGAGTGCTTAATAAAGAGAGCAAACGACAACTAATTTATTTAATGAACAATAATGCGAAGTTGGACATCAAGTTGAAGTTGAATTGCACGACTCGACGGGTACTTAGTAGGATTTATTATCCTCCCCCGGGGAGGGGTCGCACTAGGAAAAAGATGGGATTAAACGTCTGAATTTAGATGTGTTTTATGGGCAGGTGCAGAGAAACGGATCAATCGCGATTTTCGTCACCTCTCCATAAACACGTCCACATTCAGGCGTGAAATCCAATCCTCTTTTGCTATTCGGACCTCGTTCCCAGTGAGTATAGATAGAAGCATACATTTTTAAGTAGCTGCATTTGCAGCCCATCACCCGTCTGGCAAACTGATGCAGTCTTTTTTCTTCTTTTTTTTTTGAAAAAACACAGTTTATTATAACATAAATTCCACTGAGATACCTTTCTCGGCCTTTTGGCTAAAATCAAGTGTAGTATCTGTTCTGATCAGTTTTAATTAAAAAAAATAAAAAATAAAAAATAAAAATAAACTCCACTCAGTCTCGCCGCTGATGCAGTGTTTTGTCCCTCCGCGTCTTTAAGTAGTAAATATCCATCATCGCTCTCCTTCACCGTCGTCCCGACATTCTCCCATCAACCTCCATTCGTTCATCCTCTCCTCCGCGGTCCTGCTCCTGACTCCTCAGTGATCGCAGGCTCCCACGGGCCGTTTTTTCTCGAGTTGCTTATCAGCTCCTCCCGCCTCCAGGCTCTTTTTTTTTTTTTTTTTTTTTTTTTTCAGAAGGGGCCCTCAGGGCTTCATATTATAAACTTGAAAATTGCACTGAGGCCGGGAATCCTCAACAAACAACCCGGAGTAGGACAGTACCGAAGTATCACAGGCGGAGGGGATTTTGAGTCTAGGAACAGAAAAGGGCCCACAACCCGGGCCCCCTCCAGGCTTTCCCACTCCGTGGCCTTCGAATATCGACGAACATACAATGAGAAAGTCGAATTATACGGGTTAAACTTTGAGGGCGTACTCACACTAGCACTATCTTAAATGTATCTGAGCGCATTTACGGCCCTACCTGTCTGCATTTGGCTGCAATTCCGTCCAGAATTAGTGTGGTGAGCATGCCCTGACAAACAGCTTCCCGAGCCCACGAACGTCTCTCCTCCACTTTCCCGATACTCTCCCATCAACGCTCATACGTTCACCCTCTCCGCCATTCTGCTGAGTGGTAGGTATCGTCTTTTTACCCAAATAGAGCGCCTGGTTATTATATCTGTACCAGGCCTAATTTCCAGTCTAGATACCGCGATAATGACCGGGAATCCGATTCAGGTGAAGCTCAGGCTGCTACTCTATTATACGTTCATCCTCCCCGCCACTCTGCTGACTGGTAGGTACCGTCTTGACCCGAGTCTCCGTACCGCCAATCTGCAACTACCGTCTTCACCCGAATAGAACGCCCGGTCATTATAGCCGTATCTGGACTGAAAATTGCACCAAATACGGCTATCATGACCGGGCGTTCTTCGGGTGAAGACGGTAGATCTACGGCATGCCGTGAGTCTGTTATTCATCAAGAGTCTGCCATTGAATCTCAATTTCCAATAAAAGATACATTATTCCATCCGTCAACAGTAAAATAAAATAAAAATACTGTTTATTCTTTCATTTTTGTTTTTTTTAATTTGAGTTGAAGTTTCAAGAAAAAGACTTTCACAGTGTAAAATTTCTATGAAGCGGTGGCAGTTCCTATCAGTTGATCTCTCCCGCGCTTGTCCGTAGATACTAGATCCTGATCGGTGAACTCCTCCTAAATGACAAGTCAGATCCTGATCCTCTCTCTGTTAAAATCGGAAAAGTTTTTTTTTTCAGGAAAAAAAATCGGAAGTTTTCCTTTCGATGAGAAGAGTATCCCGTCTCCCTTTGTTGATATCCAAAATTCCTGTTAATTCTCAGATTTCTATTAGTTCTCTTCTTTCTTTAAATTCTCAGATTCCTGTTAATTTTAATACACTCCTGTTAATCATCGGAAAATAACATTATTGGACGCTAAGCGACCCTCTTAGCACAGCAGCGCGACATTTGGGTCAGTTTCGTGGTTGCGAGGGGTATTGTGAGAGTATATGTATATGTCCTTAGGAGTTTTGAATTCTTACCTCCATACCCCTCGCTACCACGAAACTGACCCAAACCTTTTCTACTCAGCTATGCACGTAATTGCGGTCATCTACACCCAGGGCTGGCCGCAATTGCAGTCAGATACATACAGAAGGTTCAAGTATCAGTACACAGTGCTACACACTCTGGAGCCAGCACGTAATTTGCCGAACGAGGCCTACAACCAGAAAACGACAGACCGGCCAGAAACTACCCACCCTCTGCAGGTAATGTACGTCATCACCAACTGGCCTATAGCTCAGTTCGTACACCCACGAACTGTTGAAATATGAATCAGACCCAAGTTCTAATTCAGATGCAGTCCAGGGGCCGATGGGGGG